TCCAGGTTTCTCACTGGTGCCAGCCTGTCTTCCCAACTGCAGTGCCAGGATTAGGACACAACAAAATGGTCAAATGCCAGTAACTCAAGTAGTCCCTTCTGCCAAGAAGTCCGGGCACATTTGTCAGAATGGCTTGACCTGCTCTAGTCTGCGTCCATGTGAGAGACGGTCAGGGGAAGGGGGTTTATTTATGCCTCACTCTGCAGCTGCAAGTCACAAAGCATCCAAAAGTGAATTTTTCAGGATTACACGCCGCCACCCCCACCGCTTCTTCAAAACAAGCCTGTCTCCAGCATACCCCCCCCCAGCAGGGAACGGAGCCCGTCTCAACCCAGTCCCACGCAGGCAGCGGAGACAAGCGCCCACCCCGCACTGCGGGAAACCAAATCCACGCCCTGGGGGCGCGCTTCCCCCCCGCCGCCGCCAGCGACTGGCGCCAGCGTCCGTCCACACGGCTGAAAGGGACCCGCGGCGGAGTCACTCCCGCTCGCGCTCCGGCGCTGAAAAGAGCCGTGCAGACGGAGCCCGGAGCCCCGCGCCGTGTTCGGAGCCCAGGCTCGGGCCCGGACAGCCCCACGGCTCCGGGCCGCCCAGCGCTCAGACTCGCGGCCCCGGAGCCGTTCTGCGGGGCGGGCCGGAGCACACGCCAGGGAGCGCCCCGGGCCCGCGCACAGCGCCTCTGCCGCGGGGGCTTAGGGCGGCAGCTCGCCCAGGGTGCCGCAGCGCGGCCGGGCCGGGCCAGGCCCCCGCCCCCACCTGAGGCGAAAGCGGGCCGCTCGCACACGAAGCGACGGGCGGGCCGGACCAGCGCAGCTCCGGACGGCGCGCGCCCCTCAGCGCAGCTAACGACAGCCCCAGCCGCGCGCCCGCCGGCGAGGCTCTTCAAGTAGCCCCGCGGAGCCAATCAGCGACAGTCGCCGCCTCTGCTTTTCTTTCTTTAAAACACAAAAGAATGAGCGGGATGGCCCGACCAATCAGGGGCCTCCGCTCACTTTCTTAAAACGTCCTCGCAGGCCATTGGCTGCGAGGTAGAAGCGGGGGGCGGGGCAGGGTGGAAGCACAACTAAACAGCCCAGAGGAAAAGGGGACCATGGGTTTGCAGGAAAAAAGCCGGTAGCTTAACCGCCCGCGTCACGTGACCACTCCGCTCTCTCCCCCCTCCCCCAGGCCCCAGTCAGGGGCGCGCGACCCACCGCCTGGGAGCGCGAGAGGGTCGCGCTGTCAGTGTGCGTAGGGGGAGGGGTTAGGTCTAGGCAGCAGGGTAGGTGAGGGGGCACTGAGCGGGGCAGTGGGGTTACTGTTCAGTAGCGGGGTGAGCTCTCTTCCTCAAGCCACTAACTCAGCTGGGAGCGAGGTTTGGGGGGGTGGGATGCGCTGTCCAACCTTCCCCTATCCCCAATGGTTGGCTGCTTTCACCCTTTGCGTGAGTTTAGTGCTGGTGAAAGGTGTCAGGGAGGTTAGGCCCAGAGGCTATGGGCCTCTTTCAATATAGCAGCTACAGCCCAGATCAGAGGGCAAGCTTCTCCCTCTGCACACCATGCCCTGGAGTAACACCCTCTAAGGGGGTGGAAAGGAAGTTGTCCTCTCGGCTGTTATGGCCAATCAATGTCAAATGTTGTGATTTGCCCTAGGACCTGAATTGAGCACTCCCTCCTGTAAACTCGGTTCACCTGGACTAAGCAAAGGGTAGCCCCTATCTGATCTGACAGCACTCACTAGCTCCAGAGGTGGTGAGCAGTGTGAAGCTACTGTAAATAATTTGTAAAAGACATTTAGAAAAGTATAAAACAGTTCTTGTTAAACCGTAAAATGGAGTCCTCTCTGCTCTGGAACTTCCAGCTGCACTGAAGTCTCTTGCACGGAGACCAAAACAGTTAGTTAGCAGGGGCAGTTCAGAAAATTCATGGGAGGGGGAAGAGGGAAAGTCCACAGGCAGCAGAGAATAAGTAAAACCACCCTGGGCAAAAGCAGATCAATCTCAACCCCTTGAAATGGCTCTCGGGTATTCCCCTTCTGCTGCTGGGCTGCCTGCCAGGAAGCATTCTTCATAAAAGTTTGGTGGATGACGGGAACCAAGTCCTGAGAGAGCAGGAAACAGGTGAGGCTTCTATTTCTGAACTGTCCTCTCCCCTGAATAATTCTCAGGTTTTGGCAATCTTGGCTCCTCAGTCAAATTTGGGGACTGTTAGTGCCTCATACAGACTGGGGGTCTTGTGCCTTGAACCTCATCTGCTATGCAAATTGCTGGCCCTTGAATGGGATATGCTGACTATGGAGTTTCTAGACAGGGTATTTGGTCTTCTGTCTTCCTCTCTCTTCTTCAGGGGGAGGTAGGATGATCAGATGTCCCGATTTTATAGGGACAGTCCTGATATTTGGGGCTTTTTCTTATATAGGCACCTATTACCCCCCACCCCCGTTTCTGATTTTTCACACTTGTTATCTGGTCACCCTAGGCGGAGGACACAACTGAGCTGGTTGGTCTCTTCGGAGCTCACATGCACTAAGAATCAGATCCCATTTTCTAATTCTTCTTTACTGTCCTCCTCCCCCACAGAACAAGACCCATGTACCTTTTGCACCTTCTGTGCTGCATTTCAAAGACTCCACTCCTCTTGTGTTGGAGGCCCTTGGTTTAGTCATATGATTGCAGGTGTACTGATGCTTGTGCATAGGGGATTTATGCTGATACTGAGTTGGACCTGTTTTTTGGGGTCATCAGGGACATGGAGGGGTAGGGGACATGGAAGGAACCTAAGATCACAATTCCACCCTTATTTTTCTAAAGGGGTTTTTTCATACTTGTGCATTTGGCTCCCATGTGACCACTTATTGGGGGGAAGGGCATATGGGCGATCTTCCCCTCACTCAGCAATCCCCCGCATTGGGAGGGTTCACTCCCTGTACCCGTCTCCTGCAGTGGGAAACCTAGGCCCATGAAATACTTTACACTTTTATAGTTTGTAGTCACGTTTTTATTGAAATTATGTAAAATAGCAAATTCTGGTCCTTGCCCTGTGGAGTGTGGCTGGAGTAATATGTATATAATATAGTACTTTTGCAATAATCGTTGTGGCCTTGTCTTGGTTTCATAGCCTCGCCTCTAATCCCACTTGGGGGTGAGTGTCCCTGAATCTCAACTTTGACTGAGAACGCAGTGGGTGGGAATGGTCCCTTGCCATGTCTTTTCTACCATGGCTCACAGTCTTCATTGGGAGTTTGGTGGATCCTGGGGAGTTAAAAATCCAAAGCATGGAAGAAAGAGTCTATCTACATGTGTTTGAAGAGTACAAGTCTCTTGCCCTGCGAAAGAAAGAGTCGTGGAAGTGCAAGGGTGTGTAAAAGTAGGCAGAATGAGGTGAAATTGAGCAAACAAACATAGGGTAAAGAGTAGGGAGAACACCAGGGCTCTGAACTAGATCAGGCTCAGATGCAGTCTCCCAGTGGAAAAGGTAGGAGACAGTAAGCTGGGGTACTAAAATCTCAGACTAGAATGTATCTGCTAGCCACAGGCTGAGAGAGAGACAGGACTGATGGCATTTTCCCCCCATCTGTGATGTAAGCAGCTGAAAACAGGTCTCATCTAGGGTCTTGGGAGTGAAATTACCACTATTTGAGATGTGCACAGCCCTATTGATTACAAGGGTGGTGGTGGTAGCCTTGTGCTGTGAGGAACTCTGGAAATGGGGGAATTCCAACACCCACTGAAAGCACCAGTTCAACCATGGGAGAAACTGGGAGGCAGGCACAACCCCATGGTACAAGGCCCATATGTTAATACAAGCAGCTCAAACTGGGTGTCCTGTTCTTGTGTGTGTGAGCAGACACTGACTCCTGGTAATGAGCCCCTCTGTTGCAGTGCCCTATCCAGACCCCCTGGCATAATTATAGCTCCACAACTGGTTCCCTCTACAAATCACAAGAGAATCACCCAAAGTGAATATTTTATTTAGACACTTGTAGTTTCCAAAACAGGAGCAACTGAAATTAACCAAAGCAGTGATTTCAAAGACATAGGCTACTCTACATACTGCTGGGACACACATGGCAGAGTCAGCTATTGAAGAAATAAACTTTAATTTAAAAAAAAGTATCTGGGGAATCTCACGGTTGTGTAGTTAAACTTGGTTCAGATTTGAAAGGTTAATTGATGGATGCAGTGTTGTCTTCCTGCATCTGCAGACAGCCTGACATAGTAGCTCTGAGATGTAATCCCTTCCCCCAAATTCTCATGGGGTCCTATTGGGTTCAGGGGAAGCAGGTGGGCATAAGTCCACCCATGACTGAAGACCCCTCAGAGAAAACCTGGATTTGTGCTGGAAATGGCCCAACTTGATGATCACTTTAGATAAGCTATTACCAGCAGGACAGTGGGGTGGGAGGAGGTATTGTTTCATATTCTCTGTGTGTATATAAAGTCTGCTGCAGTTTCCACGATATGCATCCGATGAAGTGAGCTGTAGCTCACGAAAGCTCATGCTCAAATAAATTGGTTAGTCTCTAAAGGTGCCACAAGTACTCCTTTTCTTTTTGCGAATACAGACTAACACGGCTGTTACTCTGAAACCCCCTCAGAGAATGGAACAGAAATAGGCCCCACAGTCGCAGAGAACGCCCTCAGCCAACATCCTCTCCCTGGTGTTATAGATGCCCACTTTCGCCATCACTAGGAAGTTGACGAAGAGGTCCCATGACTTTGTGGGGCCACAGATTGGGTGTGTAGATGAGAAGGTGGGAGAAAACGCAAAAGTGGGTCCAAGAGGAGCCAGAAAAGAGGCCGCAACCTGGTGCACACAAGCCGGGGTCTCTCTCATGCCACAAAAGGGACAGGCAGCAGGGATGGGGTGAACCGCACCAGGTACACGCCTGTGCTCATGGTTCACATTCTCATGGGGTAATGGGTGGACTCCAAACCCTACTAACATGTTAGGGGGCTTATTCTTTCACCCACTTATTTCCCTGGTCCTTCTCGCATGAAAAGAGAGCAACAATACCCGAAGTCCAAAGGTGCAAACAATTCGATGTTTATTGGGGTGAACTTACAGCAAGCCATGATTCCAGTTTCCTTCCTTAGTGTCCCCCTTCCCAGCTCTGACACCACAGAGCCTTACACCTGTGTCTCTGGCTAAGGGCAGAAATGGGAACAAACATGATTCCAATTTCCCCACCCCCATTCCCTGTTCCTATTTCTGCCCTTAGCTAAACATGATTCCAATTTCCCCACTCCCATTCCCCCCCCACACCCCACTCACTTCCTGATTGAGTTCTGCTTAGCTATACCTTAACCAATCATTTTCCTAAAAGAAAAGGAGTACTTGTGGCACCTTAGAGACTATTGGTTAGTCTCTAAGGTGCCACAAGTACTCCTTTTCTTTTTGCGAATACAGACTAACACGGCTGTTACTCTGAAACCAATCATTTTCCTGAAATTTAACTAACCAATCCTAACATATTGTAACATGATTATGTAACCACTTATATCCCACCACCTTAATTAGTTTACACCCAGCAAAATTAATTATACAGCCGACAGAAACAATCACAGAACCAGACAGAGTTTATACAGACAAACAATAGCAAAAAGTGGGAACTATAATGACAAAACAATACAGAAGTGAGGATTTCACATCCCAGCTATTGATAAGCGAGTTCTTGCCAGATAGGATGCTATCAAACTAAGTTTCCTTTTACATTTTCTAGGCACTTCCCTTTCTCTGGAGGTGATAGGAATACAATCCTGTCCTGATAGTGCCTAACAGCCCAATAGCACCTTATTTCAATGTGACTAGTTTGGAATGTGAGGATGTGACCGTTCGCTTCCCAGCTTATGGCTGCCTCTGCTGCTTAGCCAAAGATCTTAGCCTAAGCACAGGGCCTCAGACTGTCACAGTAAGAGAAGGACCTTACACCGGCAGACAGTGATTTTGATTCTTTCTTTTATACCCCTAACTAGCCAAGTGATAAGAATACACCTGAATTCTTAGAGTATAGGCCTTTACAGACAGGCCTGAATATCTATATCCTAACATAACACTTTAAATGTAAGCAGTTAACTGCTGATCATTTTGACAGACTGTGGAAAAGAGGTTGTGAGGGAAGATGGCAAGAGAAGAAACAGCAGTCCATCTAAAGCAGAACACATTATTCCTTTGTCTGATGCTGAATTGACAATGCGGCCCATAATTACAAGTTCAGTTACCCCTTAAAGTCCATACCTTTTGTTTGATCTTTGGCAAACCTGCTATCGACAGCAGCAAGGATTCCTTGGTAGACTAAAATTCAAGTTTAGTCTTGAATTTACACCCCAGACCATTAAATGGAATCCAGCCCCCTCCCCAGACAACCTTGAACTATGCAGTTTTGTTGTAACCGTGTTGGTCCCAGGATATGAGAGAGAAGATGGGTGAGATTATCTCACCCATCTTCTTCTCTAAAACCTGAACTAGACCATTTCACAGACAGACCAACTTATTTCCCTAGAGATGGGATACTTTGCAGCAGCTGCCAGGCACTGGAATAAGAAGTTTAAAAGAGGGCAGCTGTTGAGAGAACAGTGAAGTTGTCTACACAGACAGGGAATCAGTTCAGTCCCAGAGCACTAAATGCCAAGGGCTGAGACAGAACCAGAAAATCATTCCCTGTGTCTCCACTCCTGTATGAGACAAAGAGAGATACAATCCTTGCCCCGTGGAGCTTACAATCTTAATAGGAAGGAAGAGTCCAGTCTCAAGCAATGTCTATATTACAGCCACTACAGCAGCACTGGAGAAGTGCTGCAGCTATACTGAAGATAGTTCCTACACTGAGCAGTAACTAGCTCATTAAAAGACCTAGCCATGTCTACACTGGAGGTTAGGTAGACCTATCTAAACCATTTAGGGAACAAATGTAGCTAGTTAGATCTAATTTTTAAATGTAGACCAGGACTCCGCAGGCATCATGTTCTAGATCCCATAGTTCTGCTGTGGCAGAACCAGAGAGAGTCCATTAAACTACTATCATGGCATCTGGTGAAGACAGAAGTCCCTGGTGGGGTAGTGGCCAGATGTCCCTATTACTTTATTCTTCCCTAGCCCAAACTGAATTGCTTCTCTTCTCCTCCAGGTGGGGAATCACAGCCTCCATGTAGAACTTCTCCAGCTTGGGCTCAGTTCTCTCCCAGAACACTGCATCAAAGTCCACTGAGGTGATGACTGTATCTTTGTTGGTGTGAACCACAAAATCAGCACTGTCAAAGCCTGTTGTTGCCAGCTGGCACTGCACCTGAGTGTAGTAGGGATGGTTTCTCTTCAAGGAGTAGGACTCACCATCCACTTCCAGGCAGAAGGCTTTGTCCTTACAGGCCTCTTTCACTGTCTTGTCTCTGTGCTTATAGGGACACTTGACCTCCAGCAGCCCCAGTAGCTTCCCTGTATCTGCTTCTCTGATAATTCCATCTGGGCTGGCTGCGAGCCACTCCTTCTCTTGGTGAATGAAGAGGCCACACTCCTCCACCTTCACGGGCCTACCTGTCCTCCTGGATTGGAGCTCCTCATATGCCTGCACTGCCTTTTTCTCGTTTTGGGTGCCCCAGGACATGGCTGGTGTCTGCACTTTGGAACCAGAGCTCACCACGGCCTTAAGGTAAGACTGGGGCACCTCTGAGCTCTTGCCATTGACAAACTTGCTGTTAGCAATCCTGGGTGCGACTGAGGCCGTGATGCGGTTTTTCCGCCACTCATACCACTTGGGATTGTCCCTCTGGCCCCGGGTTTCCCTCTCCACTTTCACCACATCTTCTGTTGTCAGCAGGGAGGGAAATTTGCTTTCTTTGCCCCGGCCAGTGGTATTGGCCCGAGAGCGACTGGATTGATTCCTTTCCAGGCAGGGGTCGACACCGGCAGGTGCTTTAGCTGTTGTGGAGCAGGGTTTCCTTCCACTAGTCACTGAGGGGTTCTTAGCTGTCACTCTGTAGCTTATCTTGGTGTCTCCTTGATCACTGCCATGTGCTGCAGTGGCCCTTGATTGGGAAGAGCTTTGCCCAGCTCTTCTGGCAGTGGTGCTGCTGGTTGGCTTGTCTGTCTGTGCCCTGCTGCTACCTGAACTCCCAGCAGCCTGAGCACTCTTCAGTCGGCTGGCTGTGGGTGTTGTCTTGGCCTGGGTGGAGGAGGCAGAGGAACGGGGTGCTGCTGGGGTGGCTTTGGGCACAGTTGCAGCCTGACGAGGTGAGGCTGTGCTGTCAGGGTTTTCCCTGGGTCTCCCCATTGTTCAGTGTCAGGGGTCACGCTGTGTGGGCACAAGAGAAAGGTGAGTGTATATCTCTAGACTAGGTTGGTTTCCTGGCTCTGGCCGCTGTGCTTGAGGCTTCAGGAGGATTACGTCCCTTCTCTCCCCATGTAGGCAGGACTCCCTGCTGCCCTCTGCAAGAATTTGTCTGTATCTCCATATTAAGCTGTTATGACACCTTTGTCTCTGTTCTGTCCCTATGCAAATCCCTTCCCCAGGCTGTGGTATCTGCCGGGGAGCGGTCATGCAAATACATCAATGCCCCACCCATCCCTTTATTCCTCTTCTTTAAGGCTGTGTGATGTCTGGCCTCCCTGCAGCAAGCTGGTTCTTGGGGCCTGCAACTCCACAGTATGCATGGCTCTGACCCAATGAAGCCAGCCCAGAACTGAACTGGAGCTGACCCAGAGAGGGGTCAGAGAAGGGCTGGGTATCAAGCTAGGGCTGTCTCATGAGAGCTGGAGCTGTGATGAATGGGAGGGGATGTAATGTAATAATAGCTGGTGTGAAAGTTTAGGGCGATGTCTGAGTCATTATTAATTCCATTTTGCTTTGTTTGGTGAATGTAACTTTGACTACAGTTTAGAACAGGGGTGAGCAAACTATGGCCCGGGGGCCACATCTGGCCCTTCAGATGTTTTAATCTGACCCTCGAGCTCCGGCTAGGGAACGGGGTCTGGGGCTTGCCCCACTCCACATGTGCTGTGGCTCTGCACAGCTCCTGGAAGCAGAGGCATGTCCCCGCTCTGGCTCCTATGTGTAGATGTAGGCAGGGGGCTCCACACGTTGCCCCTGCCCCAACTCCCGCCCCCACAGCTCCCACTGGTGGGGAACTACTATCATGGCATCTGGTGAAGACAGAAGTCCCTGGTGGCCAGGAAGTGCGGCCAATGGGAGCTGCAGGGGCAGCACCTTTGGATGGGGCAGCATGCAGAGCTGCCTGGACGCGACTCTGTGTAGGAGCCAGAGGGGGGACGTGCCGCTTCTTCCGGAAGCTGCTTGAGGTAAGCACCACCCGGAGCCTGCAACCCTGACCCCCTCATGAGCCCCAACTCCCAGCCCTGATCCCCCTCCCACCCTCTGAACCCCTCAGTCCAACACAGAGCACCCTCCTGCACCCCCAACTCCTCAGCCCGAGCCCCACCCCAGAGCCTGCACCCCCAGCTGGAGCCCCCACCCTCCCCACACACTCCAACCCACTGTCCCAAACCGGAGCCCCCTCCTGCACCCTGAACTCTGGCCGGATCCCAGAGCCCGCACCCCCAGCTGGAGCCCTCACCCCCTCCTGCACCCCAACTCCCAATTTCGTGAGCATTCATGGCCCAGCATACAATTTCCACACCCAGATGTGGCCCTTGGGCCAAAAAGTTTGCCCACCCCTGGTTTAGAGCATCCATTTTGTAGCACAGCCTTGACATCTAGTGGACAGACTGTATCTGAAAAGCTGAGAGAGCAACTGAGGGCCATCAGCATTGACTGTTTTATATGGGGTGCTTCTCTAAGCAAGGGAGGCCATTCTATTGCCAGGCCTAAGGAATAAGACCCAACCCAGGAGTCACAGAGGTGGTAAGATCAGACAAATGGGTATTGTGTTCAGGAGTTTGATTTCCACACATCCGTAACTCTCTTGTGCTTTTAAAGAGTAAAGTATTTGTGCTTAAGAAATTCCTTTGCTAAGCCTGTTTTCATTGCTTTAGTGCCACATTGACCCTGAAGGGTTTAACTAGAAAACCAGAGCTCCCAGAGCCCATGAACTCTGGGGAAAATGTGACTAAACAACTGGAGGGACTGGGTGGGTTGTGCCACTGTTTTCAGGATTCAGAGTAACAGCCGTGTTAGTGCTGTAGCTCACGAAAGCTTATGCTCAAATAAATTGGTTAGTCTCTAAGGTGCCACAAGTACTCCTTTTCTGTTTTCAGGATGTTAAGAAAGGTCTCAGAAATGGGATCTGTACCTGGGAGTATGCCTGAAAGATCGAGAGCTGTCTCTATCCAAATCCAGGGGCTCAGAAACATGTGGGATTCAGTGGTTGAATCCAATCACAAGAGACTGGTGATCATCCAGAAAGTGGGTCTGGGCCAGATTCTAACAGCTGATTCTTTCCATCTTGAAAGTGCTGCCCAAAAACTAAAAAGAGAAACGCCACTGCTTGGTCCCACGCTCTAGATATTTGTAAAAACTCTTTAAAATCCCAATAGTAACATTTCCCTAAATTTTTAAACCAACCAATCTTTACCCGTAGCGTGTGCAACTCTAACACAGCAACAGAAGTGCTAACCTGCAGGGCCAAGGCCTCCACGGAGATTCACTGTCCAATCTGCAAGAAATGCAAAAGAGAAACAGCAGGAATTAGGGTCAAGTAAGCTCCTTTTACTAGTCCAAGCTGCCGCTGATCACATCTTTCAACCTGCTTAAAGGAAGTGCGCACTGGATTGTTCATTAAGTAAAGAAGCTCCAGAGAATATATTATTAGAGGCTCCTGGGGTAGAGACTCCCTCTCTGCTGGCCTATGAAGAAGGTTCATGCCTAGCTGCAGTGCTGTGTATATAGAGATAAAGGGGATTAGAGTGCTTCAGAGCCCCAAAGTAACAAACAGAGCCATGGAAAATGCCCAATCTCCTCCTGTGTGTTTACGCAACCTTGAAAGGCCCACTTGCTACACGATTCTTTTCGGAAATCAAAGCACTGAAATGATGAGTGCTCTGGGATTTCACTTCTCTTTTTGGCAGGAAAAGTTATTAAAAGCCAACAGCAGAATCCCATTCAGCAAACATGCCCCAGTTTGCCTCTCTTCAATTCTGGGGAACCTTAGATTTGGAAGGACTGATAGTCAATTTCACCAGTTCTGGGGCTGAGGGTTAGCTTAAGGGGTGGCATGAACACTCTTGACATGGTAATTATGAACTTTTAAAAGACTGTAATTAAAGAACTGAAAAATTGTAACCACTATTTTGACTTTTGACATGCCCCTGAGTAACCCTCCAGCCATTATCCTGTCCTCTGCCCCGATTTTAAAACCTTATATTCTGGCTCTCCAGTTTAGTGGCTTGGTTGGGCTTTGGGGCAGTGTCATTTTTCAAACAGGCCCAGCTGTTTATTTCATGATGATCTTCAGAATGGTGAAATTTTCTTGGGATCAAATGGTGACACCATGCTTTTTTATAGCTCTAAAACTGGCTTCCCCCTCCATGTTTCTCTCACTGGTCCCACCCTGTCTTTCCAGCTGCAGTGCCAGGATTATGACAAGACAAAATGTTCAGATTCCAGTGACTCAAATAGTCCCTTCTGCCAACAAGTCCGGGCATATCTGTCAGGATGACTTGAACTGCTCTAGTCTGCATCTATGTGTGTGACTGTCAGGGGAAGGTGGTTTATTTATTCCTCACTCTGCAGTTGTAATTCACAGAGCATCCAAATATGAATTTTTCATGATTACACTCTACCATCCCCACCCCCATAGGCTCTTCAAAACAAGCCTATTAGCTTAAAAGTGAAACTTGTTCCCTGGTTGAAATACAGCCCCCAAGCAGGCTTATTCCTAATGCAGTACATGTTATCTGAGCAAACCTCTGCCAACCATCTGTGGGTTTCTGTAAACCACCCTCTGCCCCTGAAGGATAGAGGGGTTGTAGTGATAAGTTAGATTTCATTTCTAGCACCGTCCCGGTCTGTGAATTATAATTCATAAAGTGCTAGAGCCAAGGAGGGGCCATGGACAGCTCAAGGGAGTGGAGCCTTTGGGTCATCACTGATCTCAGACCCACAGGCATCTACAGCATACCCCCAGCATACCCCCCCCCCGAGGGGATTCAGCCCCTACCCTACCCCGCGCCCCGGCAGGGAACCCAGCCCCTACGCCACCCCGCCCCCCAACATTCCCCCTGGTGGGAAACCCAGCCCCTACCCCGCCCCGCCCCCCCGGCAAGGAACCCAGCTCCTACGCCACCCCACATTCCCCCTGGTGGGAAACCCAGCCCCTACCCCGCCCCCCCCTGGCAAGGAACCCAGCTCCTACGCCACCCCGCCACCCAACATTCCCCCTGGTGGGAAACCCACCCCGCCCCCAACATTCCCCCTGGCGGAAACCCAGTCCCCACCCCACCCCGCCCCCGGCAAAACCCAGCCCCTACCCAGCCCCGCCCCCGGCAAAACCCAGCTCCTACGCCACCCCACATTCCCCCTGGTGGGAAACCCAGCCCCTACCCCGCCCGCCCCCTGGCAAGGAACCCAGCCCCTACCCCGCCCCCCAACATTCCCCCTGGTGGGAAACCTACCCCGCCCCCCAACATTCCCCCTGGCGGAAACCCAGCCACCCACCCCGCCCCGCAAGGAACCCAGCCCCTACCCCGCCCGCCCCCCGGCAAGGAACCCAGCTCCTACGCCACCCCGCCACCCAACATTCCCCCTGGCGGGAAACCCAGCCCCTACCTCGCCCGCCCCCCTGGCAAGGAACCCAGCCCCTACCCCGCCCCCCAACATTCCCCTGGTGGGAAACCCACCCCGCCCCCCAACATTCCCCCTGGCGGGAAACCCAGCCCCTACCCCGCCCCGCCCCCCGGCAAGGAACCCAGCCCCTACCCCGCCCGCCCCCCGGCAAGGAACCCAGCCCCTACCCCGCCCCCCAACATTCCCCCTGGCGGGAAACCCAGCCCCCGCCCGGCCAGGAAACCCGGAACGTAGCCCCCCGGGCCCGCACCGCCACACTTCCTCACCCAACACCCGGACGGCGTCGTCAATTTCTCTTGAGAACTTGTTTGCTCCGCCCCGGCTCCTTCCCCCGCTCCAAGGGCGGGTGATGGGAGGAGCTGGGGGAGGGGCGGGAAAGCCGCCGCCTTAGAGCTGGGAGTTCGGCGGGGGGGGCGTGGCGTGGCGTGGCGACGGGGGGTGGGGAGAGGGAGGGGCCATGGCGTGGGGGGATTGGCAGAGGAAAGAGCTGTGGCCCGGGGAGGGAAGGGGGAGGGGCAGTTGGGAGAGGGAAGGGCTGTGGCAGGAGGATGGGGGGGCAGTTGGCAGTGGGAAGGGCTGTGGCACAAGGGGGGTGGGGGAGTTGGGAGAGGGAGGGGCCGTGAGACAGGGATGGAAGGGGTTGGGAGAAGGCGGGAGGGAGCATGTCACAGGGAAGGGGCAGTTGGGAGAGGGAAGGGCTGTGGCAGGAGGATGGGGGGGGCAGTTGGCAGTGGGAAGGGCTGTGGCACAAGGGGGGTGGGGGAGTTGGGAGAGGGAGGGGCCGTGAGACAGGGATGGAAGGGGTTGGGAGAAGGCGGGAGGGAGCATGTCACAGGGAAGGGGCAGTTGGGAGAGGGAAGGGCTGTGGCAGGAGGATGGGGGGGCAGTTGGCAGTGGGAAGGGCTGTGGCACAAGGGGGGTGGGGGAGTTGGGAGAGGGAGGGGCCGTGAGACAGGGATGGAAGGGGTTGGGAGAAGGCGGGAGGGAGCATGTCACAGGGAAGGGGCAGTTGGGAGAGGGAAGGGCTGTGGCAGGAGGATGGGGGGGCAGTTGGCAGTGGGAGGAGCTGTGGCACAAAAGGGGTGGGGGAGTTGGGAGAGGGAGGGGCCATGGCACAGGAACAGGGTGGGGGGTAGGGAGAAGGAGAGAGGGAGGAGCATGTCACAGGGAAGGGCAGTTGAGAAGACTGTGGCACAGGGGGGAACCCTGATGGCCCGGGGAGGGGCAGCTGGGAGAGGGAAGGGATCTGGTACCGCACGGGGATGGGAGGTGGGGGGATACCCAGGATATCAAGTCTGGGATGAAATCTCTCCAAAGCAGATGGGCCCCACATTGCATAAATATCCAGGGGGAGTAGAGTGATGGTGCTGAGACTGGAGCAAAGGGAGCTGGACAATGTGATAGGGGAGCTGATGGGGAGAGAGACTGGTGGAGTGGCAGGAGACAAATGCTTCACTTTTTTGAGGCCCAGCCCTGTGCTGCAGATCACTCACAGCACCATAAGGTCAGCAATTCCTGGTAATACAGTAGTGCTTGAAGGGAAGGGTGCTTGTGAAGAGGAGTTCCTTGTCTCTGCTGGAGCTCATCCCTACCTATGGTTAATGCTAAGTCATTACCAGCTGCAGTTGAACAGCAAGGGATGAAACAACAGCAACTTCATTTCTGAAGTTGAACAGCAAGGGATGAAACTGAAAACATTTACAGGGTGCTAGATCCTTTTTAATGGGCATAGCTGGATTTTCCCACTAGAGGGAGTCATTCATTCAAATATACAGAGAACAGCACAGCGCTTGGCAAAATAGGCAGATATAAGGCCCTTTAAAGGCTAGCCCTGACATGTGTTTTACAGAGACCCGTGACTGGGCCATGTTGAATGTACAGCTGCAGCACAAAGAGGCTCATCTCTTAAATGAGCCTGCTGCTCGTAGTCACTGGCAAGCAGAAGGAAGAGTGAAATCCTGTCTGTTTGTGGAAGTCTTGCCACCAATGAGAAATCAGACTTGTCTCCTTGCTCACCAAAACTGAAAATGTTTATGCTTCAACTTTTTTGTGGACAAAGTGAATTTTATGAGTGTGAGGACCTTTTACCTGGGGGAAATTCTAGGAATATTCTTTGTTTCCTTGGGGGGTTGGGGGTTAGAGTGTGTCAAATTTTGTTGCATAAAACTAGGCTTGAAAAAGTGAAGTTTCACTCTGGATCAAATGTATTGACAATGTCACATTTGCATAGCTCTGCTCTCAAAGTCAACAGTAGAAAATCCATCATTTCAAAACATTCCAACCCCCCACTCCCCCTCCTTTTTTTTTTTGGAGGCTGTTTGTATCCCTGCAGGGGTGTTGTTAGAAAGTTGACCAGTAAGATGAAGGATGCTCTGTATCTCAGAGTAGGGCTAGGGAAAGCCTGTTTTATAGACACCAGCTGTTGCAGGATCACTTTGCTGTGCTCCACTCCTCTGGATTCCTGGCTACAGCAGCCATGTGAGCTCTGTGGAACACCTTATTCCTTTCAGGTAAGCTGCAGATTAACAGATCCTTGTCAATTGCACTTTCTGCTGGTTCATATCAAAAGGCAAAATAACAGTTGCCATGGGAGCATAGCAGCAGCTGTATGGGATGCTTCCTTGATTAAAAGTCTGTGGAGCAGAGGGATGTCCTGCCACCCTAGAGGGCATGTTCCTCTTCTGGCTGTTGAGCACATGCCACCTCCTTTATTCTGTCTTTAGCACAATTCAGATGGGAAAGTAAGGGGACATCCCACTTCAGCACAATCCAGATAGGAGAGGGGGAGGTGCAATAATTTAGCACAATGGAGAGTGGGAGGGAGGAGCCATCCCATTCCAACATGATCAGAAGGCTTATTACAACAATTTATAACCCATTAACCCCCTCTTTCTGTCCTATGACTGCAGAGGCATTAATGGGCCATTCTACCTTGGTCCCTTAGAATATGTGCTGTCTACTTGTGCTAAACAATCCACCTTGCATTTGCTGTGACTCCGGGAGTACTTTTCCCAAACCTGAAGAAGAGTTCTGTGTGGCTCGAAAGCTTGTCTCTCTCACCACCAGAAGTTGATCTGATAAAAGATATTACCTCACCCACCATGTGTCGCTATGATCCTGGGACCAACATGGCTACAACTAGACTGCATACAGAAATGGAGTGGCAGTTTCACAGTACCATGATCCAGATGGCGAGATATGATCATCCCCTGACTCTGTTCCTTGGGTCTCTCCTCATGTTCTCCTTCCTTCCGTTCCCTCTCTTCTCCTCCCAGCACCTTCATATCTCTTTCCTGCTGAATTTTCCCTCTCCTCCCATTGTTGTCTTGTCCCTCAGCCCTCTTTTCTGGTCTTTCCCCTCTTCTTTTTTGAGCCACCAGATAAACACACCTGTAAGTTGAAATCAGAATCAGAGCCACTTTCATGGATAGATGCACCTTTTGGCCTAATACTGGATTTGGTTCTGCAAATTGTATCTCAGATGGCCTAATCTAACTGTTCAAGCATCTAGCACATTTTTTGGCAATATGTAAATAATTACACACACAAAACTACATTAAAAGAACATTATTAAGGTGGCAAAGTCAAGCACTTAAAAATTAGGAGGTGCCAGAATTAAAGTTGCCTGTGCAACCTTAATTCAGCCCTCTTGTGTGTATGCATTATGATAGTCTTTAATTACATGATCACATGCTGTTTTTTCCATAAGCAATCTTCCCCTCACTTCCTTATGCTGCTCCACTGGTTCTTAGTACCAGTCTCCTTGCCCAGCCAGTCCCAGTCTCTCCCTGACTTCTCATTTGATCTCAGTTTCTCTGCCACCTCCTGGCTCCCAGCCCCAGGTTCTTACCCAACCAGTGCTAGTCTTCCCTTCCCCAGCGAGACCCTGATTCTTTGACCAGTTTGGTCCAGTCTCTCCCATGGGTCCCAGCTTCAGTCTCCTTTACCAGCCAGTCCTTCTCCTCCTACCCTGAACTACCAGTTCCAGTTTCCCTATCTCCCACACCAGCTTCCAGTTCCTGTCTCACCCTCCCCAGGCTCCTTGCCCCAATCTACTCCCAACATCCACCTGCAGGTATGGCTCTTGTCGTCTCTGCGTTTGTCTCAGGCAGCTTCCTCTTCTATGCTGCCTGGGCAAGGAGGGGAGGCACTGAGAGCACAGAAGAGACAATCTTCCTGCTCTCAGTTCAGGTGCCCAAACCCGGCACAGTTCAGAGCCACCCAGAGCTGCAATTGCAGGGAAAATCCTGCTCAGCCCTAAGTTGGAGTATGCACAGTGTGGTTCAAGTCCCTGCTCCAAAACATGGGGGTGCTGTTGAAAGAAAAGGTTGCCAGCATTTTTTGATATGGGCAAACAATGTATTTTCTCCCAACCTCATTCTCAGAAACAGCTCAAGCATTTTGAGGCAGACACATGGCATGGAAAATTTCACCCTAAATGTTAAAGTTTGGCAAAATGATAACTATAAACAGGGTTTTATAATGGGAAGTGTCGGGCAACCTTAATAATAGGTAGTGCTACCAGCCCTGCCTAAAATAAATTATATACCACACATACCCAGACAGTGCTGTAGATACTGTTTGTCTATGCCCTCCAGGTGTGTTTGGTACACCTCTGCCTTTGCTGGGAGTCATTTGGTGGCATACTGCAATGTAGATACTTTAGAGTTAGCAAACATAACTATGAGTGTTAACTTGCTGCAATATATATATGCAAACAGTGCAGGAGATTGAATACTGCAGTATATACGTTATAGGAGGTGGTATGCTGCAGTACATACTCTATGGAGGGTAGCATACAGCAGTATTTCAGAGTAGCAGCCGTGTTAGTCTGTATTCGCAAAAAGAAAAGGAGGACTTGTGGCACCTTAGAGATTAACCAGTTTATTTGAGCATAAGCTTTCGAGAGCTACAGCTCACTTCATCGGATGCATTCAGTGGAAAATACAGTGGGGAGATTTATATACACACAGAACATGAAAAAATGGGTGTTATCATACATATTGTAAGGAGAGTGATCACTTAAGATGAGCTATTACCAGCAGGAGGGCGGGTTGGTGTGGGGGGAGAAAACCTTTTGTAATGATAATCAAGGTGAGCCATTGCCAGCATTTAACAGGAACATCTGAGGGGCAGTGGGAGGTGGTGGGGGAGGGGAAATAAACATGGGGAAATAGTTTTACTTTGTGTAATGACACATCCACTCCCAGTCTCTATTCAAGCCTAAGTTGATTGTATCCAGTTTGCAAATGAATTCCAATTCAGCAGTCTCTCCTTGGAGTCTGTTTTTGAAGTCTTTTTGTTGTAATATTGCGACCTTTAGGTCTGTAATCGAGTGACCAGAGAGATTGAAGTGTTCTCCAACTGGTTTATGAATGTTATAATT